GTAAGGACAGCAACATCTGACATCTGCAACAGATCAGTCATCTCACTGGGCTGCTGCTCTTTGACATTCACTGATCCAACAGCATCCTGATCATCTGCAACACTATCTATCTTGCGAAGCTCACTGCTTAACAGATTGGCTCCTCGTGCACTTCCATCTTCCTCCGCAGCTTCCATTTTCAGATGCTCATTCAACAACTGCAAAAGAAACACACTGCTACTCTTTAACAGTTCCAAAAAGCTCAACTTCCTTCTCCTCCCTCCCAGCTTATCGCAGACTTGATGCGACGTACTTTCGTCCAGACTTGCATTTCTATCAACAGCAACCACTCGCTGACGACGCCTTTCTTCTATTAAAAAACAAACAGGAGACAGTCGGACGAGATTTGCTAAGTATTCATACAACCTGGAATCGAAATAGCAACGACCTCCATGTGGCGACCTTTCACTGTAGCTAACCTGAGTAGATTGATAAGCCACTGTGGAACAGATATTCGATAGCCAAGACACTCAGCTTCGAGATGGTTTTTGCACCGGTCAGTCGCAAGGTCGCTTCAGTCTACCCAGCTAATACCATGCCGGATGGGCGGAACTGTAAAAAACTGACTGGGCAATAACTAGCGACCTTTAATTTGTCGAGTGGTTAGCTCAACTTTAGTCAAGGCAACGCAATGAAAAACACGTATACATACACTGGTATGTATTTTTATGGAAGACAAGGAAAACGAAGCTTTTCGTTTTTAAAACTATGAATGGAAAGGCTGAAAAAGCAAGAAACTGGGGAAAAGGGAATACACAGCAGACTAATACCTGCTGCATGGAAAGTATGCTGGCTCCTTTCGCGAATTCTTGCTGCTTTTGTCTATTCCAGTAGCGCTGGATGTAGCTGAAATTGAATCACTGGCGACACACACCAGACACGGCAGTGCGATCATGCGTTTTTGCACTATTTCGTGCTTTAGTAAGATCACAAGGGATCCCAGCTGCTAGGATTTGTGACATACTGGCCCCGATGTTTAGGAAATTAATTGTGCAGCTAAATGATGTGTCAGTTATAGATTTCGGCTTCAGTGACTCGAGAAACGGAAAGTTGCCGGCGCTCGAAAACGACCTCACGAGGAGAGCTGAATTTGAAATCTTTTAGTCGCACATAAGTAGGGAATATTCGCCTAAAATTCCAGCTTTTTTCTTTTCCAAGTTAGCAGTCTTCCCGCCAAAGTTTTCACGCGTCCGCACATGAGATTCCGACGGCACTAAGCAGCCGAATTTAAAACCTCCCAGTTGTGTATGATTAGGGGACATTCCTTTAAAATTCCAGCTTCCTGGGTTAGCAGTTTTCCTGTCGAAAATTTCACTTGCCCGTAAGTGAGACACGAACGGTTCTAAGGATCTAAGTGCGAAATCTTTTGCTCGTACATGAGTAGGGAAACATTCCTCTAAAGTTTCAGCTTTCTAGCTCTTCTCGCTCCGGAGTTGACAGTCTTTTTTCCAAAACTTCCACGCGTCCGTTCATGAGATGTAGATGCGCGTGACAGTTGATATCACGTGCCAAGAGTCGCATTTGGCCAGAAAACACACTAACGAAATCTCAGCATTAAAGCTTGCGTGGTTGCTAAGCACAAATACATGCACAGACACGGTAGTCACAATATGCGCTTTGCTGCCTGTCACAGCGCTTAAGCGTTGCGCAGCAGAAACGCACAAAAACTGTGGCCGTTTAATGTCTGAGCGCTCACACCATGCGTGATTCTACAAAACGAGCAAAATCAAGTGAAAAATCAGACCGCCGTTCTGCAGCGTAGCTCGATCTAGTTGCTTCACAAGCAGTGCTATATTGCAGCTCCAATTCACGGGCTTGCTCAATGATCTCTGATGGCGAAACATTACCCTTCTGAGCCAATTCTCGAAGTAAACTTCGACGCTTACGCTTCTAAACCGCATTCAAATTTCACGCAAGTACATGATGGAACAAATGCACCAGACAGCTTATGTTCTGCAAGCAGTTTATGTGGGCCCAAATATGGTCGACAATAGCGGCTGCATTTTATGCGGTTTTGCTGTGCAGCGCTATAGCAGCTACAGCCAGCAAAAACGCATATTGTCGCGAGGCTGTCTGTGTGTGTT